CTCAGCTGTGCTGTGAGGGAACCACACACAGAGAGGGCACCTGGGCCACACACTGTTTTTCTTCAGGTCCCAGAAAGTCACACCCTAACTTAGTCCCACCTCTTAAAGACAATTGGTTGGCAAAGATTCCCCATCTCCTCCCCCCTTTTGTCTAAATAAGAGAGATCCAAACCCAATTCAAAACTATATGCAATAGGAACAGAAATCAAGTATAAAATTATAACCAACAAAAACAATATTAAGCAAGGAACACATGATAGACATTCTATTTCACAGAGTCTAAGTCTTGCATTGGAAATAGGCTCAGCTAAACCATAAGAGGAAGGTAACTGTGACTGTCTGATCTTCAATGCTATTGAAGACCTGAGAAGGGAAATAATATTACTTGAGTATGCAGGAAGTACAATCAAGCAGCTTCCAAAGCAAGTAGTATATGATGGAGACAATTGGCTACCTGAGCAATCACCCAAAGCCTCATTTGCAATGTTGAAGCAACCAACTTTGGCTAAAGTCTAGCATAACTGACACCATTTTTAGAGGCAGGAAATTTTCCAGAACCGTCTTGCCCTGTCTTGGCAAGGTTTGGCAGTCCTTTTCCTTGTGTCCTGCTTATCCAGTCCGGACACCATGTACTTTGTCAGTGGTTGAGGCATGGGCAGTTCCTTGCCCAAAGGCCAACTGTGCCAAGAAAAAAACAAACTCTGAGTGGAGTGTCTTCAGTGCTCAACATTCTCTCAGGAGTAGATTGGTGCTGTCAGGAACAATCATGCCTTATGTCAACAGAATCCTAAGTTATTTAATGCCACAATCTACAGATCCTTAAAGTGGTTGAAGATTACCTATCTAGGCAGAATACAATCTCTATGTATCTAAAGGACCTAATTAATCTGACTATATGTATAACATGAAAAACTATTGACCTATATTAATACCTGTATAACTTAAAAATTAAGACTGCATGTCAGAATATTAAATAATCTGTAAACAAATGTGCAGCAAATGAGGACAATGACCTCAAAATATAAACAATGTGTAAGTATCTTGATCAGAGGTAAGAATAATACATAATGCAATACGAAAATATTTCCTAAAAGTTGATTCAATATACAAAGTGTCTTAAACAGAGGTAGAAACATGCATGTATACAATCTGACAGAATAATTTTGCAGAGGTGTACAAATATTGTAAATAGAAATACCAAATATAATTTGAACTTGTATCAATATACAAAAAACTATACCTATGTAAATTATCCATAAATATTAGCTCACAAGTATTCACTCTATTACCCACTATTTTATTAGTGTAGTAAATTATCTATTATCCCATTCTATTCTTCCTTCTTTTTTTGAGCCTGCATAGTTTCCACCCCAACCCTCTACCTTATACAAGTAATAATCAACAACCCCTAGATGGTGTTCCCAACCCTGAGGACAAACTTTGTTGGGAGAGGGGACATCGTCTTCTAGAATTGCTTCCAGCTATCATGGGGGCAATGTTCTTTTTATGTGATCCTGTAAAAGTAAAGTGATGGTTAAGTTTCAAATTACTGTCTAGTATAGTTGCAAGCTATTTCTGATTAGTTGATAGGGCTTTTTCCAAAGCTCTTATTTGGAGTTCTGGCAAGGATGTAATGAGAAGGTGTACCATTTTAGCAGCTGGTACCCAAAAACCAGTCTAGGAATAGTGCTATCAGCATCATGATGTCATCTCAACCAGGTGGAGTTGTTGGTGTGGAGTCTCATGCTCCTCCTGGAAACTTCAAAGATTACTGCAGGAAAGGATCTGTAGGAAAGTCTATTGTTCACCATGGAAAACGTAAACATTAAAATATAGACATACATTCAATGAAGAATATGATATAGACAAAATAGGCATGGAGAAAGTAAACTTTTTCCTAAATTCTTCCTTCTGTCCCATACCAGATGGCTCCTGACACGAGACTGAAACTCAGAATGTTCCTCTTAACAAAATGCTTGGATTTAAAGGACAGAGCCATTGTTCAACTCTAAAGCCAGCTCTATATATTCAGAAATATATATATTTAAATGTATATGTTTTTATCATCTGTCCTCATAAGTCACATTCTTTTTTCTTGATGATCCTTATTGGATAGTTATTTTTCCTTCTGTCAGCATCCAAACATTCAGGGTCTCTTGAATTTTTGAAGATGTGTATTTTCCTGTAAAGACAAAAGTATAACCCTGCCCCAACCTTATATGGTTTCCTTACCATCTGTATGGTTGTCACCATTTTGGATGAGCTGTAATTTCTCTCTCTCTCTCTCTCTCTCTCTCTCTCTCTCTCTCTTTGATTTTCAAGACAGGGTTTCTCTGTAGCTTTTGGTTCCTGTCCTGGAACTAGCTCTTGTAGACCAAGCTGGCCTCGAACTCACAGAGATCCACCTGCCTCTGCCTCCCAAGTGCTGGGATTAAAGGCGTGTGCCACCACCGCCTGGCTAGTCATTTCTCTTTTTCAAGAGGTTTCTCATTTTCAAAACAAATCTTTATTAATTTTGGTGGTATCCATATTTCTCTTGTGGAAATAGGAGCGAAACCCCTTCCCCAACGTAGCACGTCTCCTGATTTCCATTGTGAAGTCAACACATCCTTGAAATACACTGGTTAATTCAATTCAGAAGTTTTTTCCATTATCCAATGTCTCTCCACTACCATTGTTCCTTTCTCATTAGTGTTAAGAAAATTCAAGATTAATATAGCATTATGCAATCTGGGGGTATTTTGCATCTCTTTCTGTTTATTCAACACATCCTTTATAGTTCGATTTGATCTTTCTATAATCTGTCTGACCTGTAGGATTATTTGGCATACCTGTAATATGCTTTATATTATAATAAGAAAAATGTTTTGTTTTCTTAGATACATATGCTGGACCATTGTCTGTCTTTATTTGCGCAGGAATGCCCATGATGGCCATAACTTCTAATAAATGTGTGATTACTGAATCAGCCTTTTCTGAGCTCAAGGCAGTTGGCCATTAAAAACCTGAATACTTTTCTATGGTGTGGTACACATATTTTAATTTTCCAAATTCCGTAAAGTGAAACACATCCATTTGCCAGATCTCATTCCTTTGAGTACCCTTTGGGTTACTCCCTGCAGGCAACAGTGTTTGGTTATAGAAAGAGCAAGTAGAACATCTCTTTATAATCTCCTTAGCTTGTTGCCATGTAATAGAAAACACTTTCTTTAAACCTTTGCTATTGACATGATGTTTTTCATTAAATTTTGAGGCCTGCAACATACTTCCAAACAATAACTGATCAATTTCTGCATTGCCTTGTGATAGAGGACCTACCAGACCTGTATGGGATCGGATGTATGTTTTATATATAGGACAAATCCTATTCCTGATTGTCTTGCACCTGAATGAATAACGAAGTCAATTCTGTTTCATCTGGTGTAAGCTCAGCAGTTTCACTACACAAGACAACTCTTTCTGCATATTTTGAATCAGTAACTATATTGAGAGGTCCTTTTTTTTAAAACACATAGTCAAAATTTATTCCAAAGCCTGAAAACATTCAGACTAATCAAAGTGGTACTATAATTTCTTATAATCCATCAATAATACAGAAGTCCAGATAATGAACTAACCTCTAAACCACATAATTCCAAAGCAATGGCTGTAACAAAAGGTGAGATGACATTAGCAATGCACTTAATGAGACATAGCAGCAAGCTATTCAAAAAAAAAAAAAAAAAACCTCACAAATCTACTCTTGTACTTCCCATGCTTTTAACTTTGCTTCATAAACCCAGTGAAAATTAAGGCTTCTTTTAAGGATGGAATTTCCAACATCAAAGATCCTATTGTCAGGGCTAGGGATGTAACTCAGTGACAGAGCACTTGTTTCATCCCTTACCACACCCCACTTTTACACACATGCATGCACCACGTGTGTGTGTGTGTGTGTCTATTGTTAAAATTGCCTTCATATTTTAACATGGACCCTCCCACCAGGCAGTTCCTCCCCAACAACAAATCTATTGTCACACAGCAAACAATGATTCAATATGCTTACAGGCACAACACGATCGGTAATCCAATTTCAACTTTGATAACTCAAGCCACCAAAACATAGTGTAAGGGAAACTGGGAAATATTATTTAGCTAAAACTTTCTCCACTTCTGAAACTACAAGGACTCTTTAGATGACTATTAAATTATATTTAAGTAGCTGTTCATACAGAGTAACAGACTTACATTTCCACTGAAAACGATAGGATCACACTTCACATGTGCGACATGTAATATGTCCTTTATTGGTTTCCCTAAGGAGAAAACAAATATTTTGTGTCCTTTCAGGAAAGTGTGATAACCAAGCTTGGTGGTGTGTTCCTTTAATCCCTGTGCAAAGAGAGGCAGACCCCTACGAACTGTCTGAAGCCGGCCGGAGCTACAGAATGGAAGCCTGTCTCAAAAGGAGAGAGAAATGAAACAAATCTGTGCAGAGAAGCAGGCGCCCTGATGCGGGGACACGTGCGACCATTTCAAGCTGAAGTGGCTCTGTACAGACACTGGGACACTAAAGGAAGTGACCTTATAGGAAATCAGTGACTCAAAGCTCGCAAGTTTGTAGGTCTGCAAAAATATATGAATACACAAAATAACGAAAATACACTCTATAGAGTCTCCTCCCGGGGTAAGTTCTGTGCGGCACGTTTCCTGGGAAAAGCCCCTGCCCAGCAGGGCCCGTGCACATGGTTATGAGAACGAGAACCAGGCTTCATTTCCCACAGAGACTTGCTTTTCCACCCACACTCATACAGACTTCATTTCCACTACACCACACTACTAGCATCAACATACTACATTTAAAAAGTCTTGATTTCTGAATGAATCTTTTAGTACTATAAACATGATGGAGTTAATAGCTGACAGCTACAGGGAAAGGTTCGATTTAAAATATGACCAAGGTGAGACTGTGTCACAAGCAATAAGACCCGACAGCGAGGGGCTAGATAAGGCACTTTTCATCAGTGGCCATTCATAATTTTGCTTTTAGAAACTTGGAAGAAACTATCATCTTTGAGTTTCAAATGTTCTGGTAAATCCAGTTGCTTTTTTGCTTCTTCAATATCACCTTGAATTGCTGAACTAAGTGACTCTAAAAAATCAAAGTTCTTTTCTGGTCTGAGGTAGCCAACAATGGCCACATTGAGAATTTCGCCATAGAAGTCCTCTTTGAAGGTGTGTATGATGTGGGTTTCCATGGGGTTTTTCGCGTCCTTGTAGTGTGGGTTCCATCCTATGCTCACCACCATTTTACGGATGGCTCCACTCCTGACACTGGCCCAACCATAATAAATGCCAGTGGATATATCAGCCGGAAGACTGTCTACTACTTGTTCAGGAAAATTGGCTATGGGGATGCCCAGCTGCTTGGAGCCGCAGCCGAAGCCATGCACCACCTGGCTGCAGCAAAAGAACCGCAGGTTCCTCATGATGCCAACCTCGGGGGACACGGACTTCTACTCTCTCCACAGCTGTGGAGGAGCCATCATCAGTGAGGCGCCTGGGCCCAGGCCAGCTGGGGATCCCACAGAAGCTGGGCTGGGGGAGTGGGACACAAACGCTACTGGTACCTGCCCACAAAGCAGCCTCCTCCGTCAGAACTCAGCGGCAGCGAAGAACCTGCTTGGCTTCCGTAGCCGTAGCCGAGAGGTTCTTTAAAATCCCCTAGTACCATAAGAATAGCATATAATTCTGCCTTCTGGACAGAATTATAAGGGCTTTGTTCCACCTTACTTAATTTTTCTGATTTGTAACCTGCTTTCCCTGATTCATTTGCATCAGAATAAAATGTACAGGCTCCAGTTACTGGTACATCACATACAGTTTGGGAAAGAATCCAAGAAGTTCTCTTTATAAGGTTAAGTCTATCGCTTTTGGATAATTGCTACTAATTTCTCCCCCAAAATTAGCACAAGCTCTTTGCCAGGGTTCATTGTCTTCCCATAACTTTTTTATTTCATCAGTAGTAAAAGGCACTATAATCTCTGCTGGGTCTATACCTGCTAATTGATAAAGTCTCAATTTATCTTTTATAATTAATTCAGAGACTTTTTCCACATAAATTTTGATTTTTTAACTTGGTTTATGTGGTAAAAAAAAACAATTCTAAGACAATATAATCTCTCTGTATTAAAATTCCTGTGGGAGAAATTCTGGAAGGCAATATGACTGAAATACAATTAAGATTTGAATTCACCCTATCTACATGTGCCTTTTTAAAGTTCTCCTTAACAATCTCGATTCCTTTTCCACTTCAGCTGTTAATTATCTAGGACTATTTAAGTCTTTGTTACCATTTAAGACTTTGTTTAAATGAATTATTAGATCAGGTGTTATCCCAACAGCCAGTAGTAGACTGGAAATGTCTCCTAACAATCTTTGAAAGACATTAAGAGTCCGCAACTGGTCTCTCCTAAATTGTGCCTTTTGTGTTCTAATTTTCTGTGAACCTATTCTGTAACCTAGGTAATTAACAGAATCTCCTCTTTGAATCTTTTCAGGAGCAATTTGTAATCTCCATTTAGGCAAGACTTTCTTTACCTCTTAAAACATCCTTTCTAAAGTATCTATATTTGAATCAGATAACAAAATGTCATCCATGTAATGGTAGATTATAGACTTAGGAAGTTGCTTATGTATTATTTCCAATGGCTGACTGACAAAGTATTGGCACAGGGTGGGGCTATTGAGTATTCCCTGTGGACGGATAGGCCATTGGTATCTTCTAGTAGGCTGAGAATTATTATGAGTAGGCACTGTAAAGGCAAAGTTTTCTCTACCCTTTTCTTGTAAAGGTATAGTGAAGAAACAATCCTTTAAATGAATAACTATGAGAGGCCATCCCTTTGGTAACAGAGAAGGCAGAGGAATTTCAGATTGTAGAGGGCCCCATAGGTTGAATAACCTTTCTTATAGCTCTAAGACCTGTCACCATTCTCCATTTTCCAGATTTCTTTTCAACCAACAACTACAGAAGAATTCCAAGGGCTGGTAGATTCTTCTATATGTCGAGCATCTAGTTGCTCTTGTGCCAGCTGTTCTAAAGCCTGCAGCTTTTCTTCTGTTAGAGGCTATTGTTTAACCCATATTGGCTTCTCAATTAACCATTTTAAAGGTAGGGTTGTTGGTACCTCTGAAGGTTTGTCAATTGCTTTGTGTTCTTGTACATCCTGAATGGCTGGTGACCTTTGTTTATAATACCTTATAATATCTGCCCCAGAAATATAAGCTTTTTGGGCTGCAGGAATGTTAATCTGGGTATTCCATTGCTGCAATAGGTCACAACCCCACAGATTCACTGTAATATTAGCTACACATGGCCTCAGCCTTTCTGTCCTTATGGCCTGTGAAACAAAACCCATCTCATGCTTTGTTTCACTTGAGATAGGGTTCCAATTCTTAGGAACTGAACATCTGGAGCAATGATAGTTACATCCACACCCATGTCTAGCAAGCCTTCAATAAAAATGTCATTTATACACTCTTAGCTTTGGTCTTTGGTCATTTATAGAAGTCTGCCAGAATATGCATTTTCTATGTCCTACTGGAGTTTCTGACTCATCCTCCACATCTATTCCATCATTCAGACCAGTACAGTTTTTTTGCAGTAGGCACTGGATTTTTTAATTTTCATGGTGAGACATGTTCTCCACAGTAACTGGGAATGATTAGACAATGTTCATCATGGGGGCCTGTGAGAGCCCCCCCACCAAAGAGTTTCCCAATGGTATCGGGTTGCCTTGTCTGTCTTTTGTTGACCTACATTCAGTGGTTCAATGCTGGCCTTTGCCACACTTCCTACATGTACCTGAAGGCTGAGTCCTCCTATTCTTGCCATTCCCAGGGGAGATATTATTCCTAGGAACTCCTTGTCTACAACCCCTTCTCATATGTCTCATTCTACCACAATTAAAACATTTGGTATTTTAGTATCTCCTTAAACCATTGGAAATTGCGTCTACCCAATTTCAGTACTATAGTTAAATGTCTCAACATTCATTGTATGCAAGACCCATTCATCCATTGGTGCTGATCTGACCATTAAAGGCCCAAGGATATTTTTGCATTCTAAGTTGGCATTCTCAAAAGCCAAAGATTCAATTAGTACATGTATAGCTTTTGGGTCTGTTACTCCTATTTGTACAACCTTAGTTAATCTTTGTAAAAAGTCACTAAGGGGTTCTCTCTGACCCTGTTTAACCCTAATGTATGATTTAATTCTCTTTTCTGGTTCCTGAATCCTGTCCCAAGCATTTAAAGCTGCTGTGCTACACAGGGACAAGGTGTGTTCATCGTAAAGACCCTGATCCTGAGGATCAGAGTAATGTCCTTTGCCCAGAATTTGATCTTGGGAAATCTCAAGTCCTTTTGCTTTTCCATGTTGCTATAAAGTTTTCCCTTCAATAACACTTCCAAATCAAATGCAGTCCATTGTCTAGAACCACTGAGATTAGCTGAATTCAATCTTGTGGCATTGCCTTGTTGCTTGAAGTCCTCGTTTTGACCATTTCCCTAATGAAGGACAAATGTATTCCACAAGATACAATTGCTTGTTTAATTTCATTTAGATCAGTCATACTTATGAGTTTCCCTTGTATATTCTTTAATTACCTTAGGGTATTTGGTGCCAGATGCTCTTTCTGATGATATGACCGGAAAGGCAGAACTCTGGGTAAGCTATCCCAGAGTTTAACGCACTGATAAAGCTACATTTTGTCTTTGTACCTTTTGTCCCTGGTCATCGAATTCAATAAATTCCTCAATATTTTCAAATCTTTTTACACTGCCTTTTTACAGATCTGTATCTCCTGTCCAGTATTCTGTTCTAATGCCCTCATTGAAGATTCCAAGGTGTGAAGTAAAGATAACGTCTCATCCTTGGACATAATTTTTATAGCATGCATATTACCTTCCTGGAGAGACATTTTATCAGTCATTATATCATAACCATCCAACAGAGTCTGATTAATACATTCAACAGTACGAATTCTCTCAGACAATGTCTCAGCACCCTCTTGTCATTGACTGGGTTTTTGTCAAATTGGTTGTATCCTTCTCCAGAGTGCTGAATTTCCCTTTTAGTTGATCATTATCAGCCTGTAAAGAGTGTATCGTTTCTAACAGTGCCTCATTCTTGGCCCTACTATCAAACCATGCTTTTAAGAAGAAAATATGAAGGACAAAGCTAATCCCCAGAATCAAAAAGAAGGATGTAGCAGGGAAATCATATAAACCTTACATAACATCATACATGGTATAAGTTCAAAAGCTATTGAATTCTTTTAAATTGTCCATCATCTTGCCTTTTTAAATTATAAATCTATAATTTATATTTTAAATTATAAATCTTACTTGTGGTTGAGTTTGAGCTGGAGTAGGTGCAATAACCATTACCTGCCAGTAGGTGTTGCGGCGCACTTATAGCTGCGTGGCCGGCTTGAATCTGATTTTAGCATTAAATACTGAAAGATATGCTCAAATTAAAAACAATTATTCAGCCAGGCGATGGTGGCGCACGCCTTTAATCCCAGCACTCGGGAGGCAGAGGCAGGCGGATCTCTGTGAGTTCGAGACCAGCCTGGTCTAGAGAGCTAGTTCCAGGACAGGCTCCAAAGCCACAGAGAAACCCTGTCTCGAAAAACCAAAAAAAAAAAAAAAATTATTCAGTGTAAATCACAGACTGTGTGCTCCATGGAAGTCCCTGACTGTGCAACAGTCACACGAGCACAAAGAGAACAAGAAAGCAATGCCACAAGTGCCGGAAAAACTGGACCCAGAAGCCAGATAATATGAAGGACCATGGATAGTGGCTACTCAGGGCCACTGAATGAGAATTCTATACCCAAATGAACTGCATGGAGCCTGACGTCAGCTGGCTAAAGCCACTGAGACCTGAGATCCACAATTTGGCTCTAACTGTAGGAGTTAGCTCCATTCAGGAAATAACCAGGCTAGTTAAAAGATAAAACAATTATATTTTTATTTGCTATAAGGGGAAAACTCATGAAACAGGAAAGAGAAGTCCAAACTCAGCTGTGCTGCAAGGGAACCACAGAGAGAGAGAGAGAGAGAGAGAGAGAGAAAGAGAGAGAGAGAGAGAGAGAGAGAGAGAACCTGGGCTGGCATTTTTCTCCAGATCCCAGAAAGCCACACCCTAACTTGGTCCCACCTCTTAAAGATAATTGGTTAGCAAAGATTCCCCATCAATGTGGTGCTGGGAACCAAACCTGGGTCCTCTGGAAGAGCAACCAGTGCTCTTAACCGCTGAGCCATCCGCCAGTCCGATGACTGTATTTTTAACATACATTCTAATAACATGTCATACACTCTGTCGCATGAGGTCATGTGTGGAATTTTATACTTATACCATTATGTTGGTGATCAAAACGTTTCAGATTTTGGGGGCTGGAAAGTTGGATCAGTGATTAAG